TAATAAATAAATAAATAAATATATATATATATATATATTTATAAATTTGAATATTATATTTATATATTATTATATTATTAATTGTAATAAAATTAAAAAAAAAATTGAAAGTATAAATCTATTTTCTCTTTCCCAGTTGGCTTCTCAAACAAGCCTCCAATTCTCTAAAGCTGAAAAGGATGTACATAGTGAATAGATAGAGTTAAAGCTTGGTCCATACATTCCCATTCTCCAAAATCAAAACCCCTTAAAACAGTTGCATTAAGAGGAGGTGCATACCAATTGTATTTTTGGTGAACATTTAAGGCTATTATCTTTGGTTGGGAGGTGAAAGCAATGAATAGGTGTTGCCAATTTATCATGAACAAAGTTAGTAAAAGCAGATGGACACTCATCACACCCCATAATCAAAACCGACAACATTTGCCTCTTTAATCCTTCTTACTCATTGAAGGAACCGATTTTAAATGTGAGAAAGTGGTATTTTTGTATTTAGTGTTGATTTTGTATGTAAATAGTGTTGATTTTGCATGTCTGTTATATATTGGGCACACCAAACTTGTACCATTACTCTTGTGTTTTTGTTTTTGTTTTTGCTTTTGTGTCTCCCACTCGTAGTGTTGCCCCGTTCGCCCTCTCATTCAGGAACGAATGTTGTTGTATTGAATGTGAATGTGAATGATGAATGAATGCTTGATTCATAGTTTTAAAAATCGCACTGATTATCAAATTGGTTAGGATATTGAATTACCAAATTTCATTCCTCTGTTAAGTAAAGTAGTAACTTTGCCTACTTATGAATTACTTGTTGAAAATGTTGAAGACTTTGGTTGAAGTAAACTAGTAGCTTGTTCAGGTGCTTACTAAGAATTCAAGAAAATTGAATTTGCTCAAAGTTTTGCATAGCTAGCTTGAGTAATATATAGTGTTGCCTATTTAATTATAGTAGTATATTGGTATGAGTTTTGGTATGTTTTGCATTGTGATAATTGTGAAGATAATTTTTTTCCTTTTTCTATATAGGTGGAAGGTGATAAATATATATATTAAAAAATTATGATAAAGAGTAAAAGAATTGATTCTTTTTTCAAGAGGAAGACATGTGAGAAAGATGAAAAAAATGCAACTTGTACATCAAGTGAACTTGAGAAATTTCCCGAGAATCCAAGAATTGAAGAAAATAAGAAATAACTCTCAAAGGTTCCTAAAGTTACATATAATGAATTTGAAAATTCTTTAGAACGTGATCTGGGGAAATGCCCTCAAATTTGGCAATAACCACCAAATCAAACGGATGAAATACGAAGGACTTATCTAAAATGAGGTTCATATCAAATGCAATTAGAAAATTATCCTTTGTCTGGTAAAGATGATCATCCAAGGAGATTTTAATACACTTGGTTTAGCATATTTCCTTCATGGTCAGAGTATTCACCTTCAAAAGATCTTATATATTGCTTACCTTGCTATCTTTTTAGTAAAAAACCAAGCCGACACCTTGGTTCAAATGTTTTCATAGCTACAGGTGATTGAATTTGAATTCTAATTGGCAATGAGTTGATTTTCATCAACAAGTTTTAACTTTGTTGATTATTTTTTCTACAAGTTTTAAAAGTTGGAGGAAAGTTAATAATGGAAAGAATTGTGCTTTTCTTAAACACATTGGGAAGAATCCTTGCTCACCACACAATAATGTAGTGAGAGCTTGTCAAGACTTGTTGAATCAAAATTGTTATATTAGGAATGTTTTTCATATGCAAAGCTTAGATCAAATTATGAAGAATCATTTGCGTCTCAAGACTTCAATTGACATGGTTCGTTATTTATCACTTCAAGCTTGTGCTTTTAGAGGCCATGATGAAACTAGTGAATCAAGGAACCAAGGTAATTTTCTTAAGATGATAAAACTCATAGCACGATACAATGATGAGGTTGCAAAAGTTATGTTGAAAATGCTCCATATAATTCCAAATATACTTCCCGTAAAATTCAAAAAGAGATATTGAATATTCTTTTTAGTAAAGTGAAAAATCATATTCGTGAGGGAGTTGGGGATTCCAAGTTTTGTATAATTGTTGATGAAGCTTGTGATGAATCAAAAAAGGAACAAATGGATCTTGTTTTGAGATTTGTTGATAAAAATGGTTTTACACATGAGTGGTTTTTTGATATTGTGCATGTTAAAGACACTACAACATTAACTCTGAAAAATGAATTATGCGTTGAACTTTCTCAACATAATCTTAATGTTTCTAATATTTGTGGTCAAGGGTATGATGGTGCTAGTAATTGAAAGGAGAATGAAATGGATTACATGCATTATTCTTAAATGATTGTCCTTATGCATATTATGTTCATTGTTTTGTTCATCGGTTACAACTTGCCTTGGTTACTGCATCAAGAGAAGTTATTCCAATTCATCAATTCTTTTCAAAATTGAATTTTATTGTGAATATTGTTTTCTCTTCTAGTAAGTGTCATAATGAGCTACAAGCTGCCAAGTTAGATGAAATTGCATATTTATTAGAAATTGATGAGCTTGAAACTGGTAAAGAGGCAAATCAAATTGGTACTTTGAAACAAGTTGGGGATACTCGTTGGAGCTCCCATTTCTCTTCTATTTGTAGCTTGATAAATATGTATGATGCAACTTGTTCGGTTCTAGAAAAAATTATTGTTGATGGATTTACTTATTCTCAATGTGGGGATGCTGATAATGCTTGCAAAAACTTGACCTCATTTGAGTTTATATTGATCTTGCATTTGATAAGAGAAATTATAGGGATAACAAATGTTCTTTGTCAAGCTTTACAACAACAATCTCAAGATGTAGTTAATGCTATGCATTTAGTTTGTTCTATAAAAGCACTTATTCAAAACTTGAGAGAAGAAGGTTGGGATAAGTTATTAAAAAAAGTGACATCTTTTTGTGACAAACATGATATTGAGGTTCCTCAATTTAGCACTTCTTATGTAGTAAGGCAAGGGTGCTCTTTTCACCAAAAAGATCATATCACAGTGGAACATCATTTGAGAGTTGAAATATTCTTTGACAATTGATAAGCAATTATAAGAGCTGAATTGTAGATTTAATGACCAAGCAATGAAGTTATTAGCTCTAAAGCGAATTTTGAAGTTAAGTCTTTTTCAAGATAAGAGAGTATTAAGAAAATTAATAGTCATCCATAAAAAAAAAAACTTTCAACAAAAAAGTTACAATATTAAAATCAAACCCTAATCCTTACAAATCAAAGTTAATATCGATACAATTAATTCATTAAATCTTAAAAAAAATATTTTAGGGGTCTAAGAGCATCTCCAATGGAGATTGCTTATAAGCAATTTCCTATACCACATTACTGCCATATCAGCTCTAGCTCACTTTATGGGTTGCTTAAATTTTAGCAAAATTATTTGAAACAATTTTGTTAAAATTTAAACAACCCATAAAATAAACCAGAGCTAATGTAATAGTAATGTGACATAAGAGATTGCTTATAAGCAACTTCCTCCATTAGAGATGCTATAAGACTCATCCTCATGCTTGGGCCGGCCTTAAGAGTGTGTGTAGTACTGCAGTGTGATGATTTGTGAAAAGAATGCTACCTCATGCGCGTGTGATAAAGGAAATGTGTGGTGTAAAGTGTGCGTGACAGCGTGAGGTCCCCTAATACAAAATTTGGCGTTTCCAACATTTAAATCATTTTAATTCATTACTAATTTTATAGTTTTTTATTTTTAATTATATTAATTTGATGATAAAATTTAAAAATTCAAGATTAATGAAATATAATTTATAATTTTTTTCCTAAACAGGCCTTTAGATCTGAGAATCGCAGACTCAAGCCCAAATCAGAATTAGACAACAATTTTTCAATCATTCTACAGTGTTTCCTTGTTGCGTTAATTAGTCAACGGTCCAAGAGTAAGAACCAGAGCCTATCCAAACTATTGACATTTATTTTGCTTAGACACGTTTAAAGGCTAAAATGCTCTAATTACTCAATTATTATATATATTTTTTAATCAACTTCTAAATTAAGAAACAGATATGCACTAAAGAGTTGTTGAACAACAAAATTTCAAGAATTTCTGCTTATACTATGGTAAACGAGGAGTTATTGAATTTATGAGCATAATAAATGCTTACAAGTAGCGATTTATCAAGTTTGTCGTATCCACGTAATCGACTCTCTCTCTCTCTCTGAAAAGTCTGAACCTTCCTTGCAACGCAGAGCTGTGTTGGCAGGTGCTCTCAACGTAACAGAAATTCACCTCTTCACGTAACCCCAAATCGAAACCCTAACTAGCGATTTTCACGATGGCGATCTTGTTGGGCGAGATTCTTCAATCCGTGGAGCTATGGCTGAAATTGATCAAGAAGCCGCAGCCGCAGGCGTATGTGAACCCTAATCTGGACCCCGTTTTGTTGGTGCCCGGCATCGGTGGCTCCATCTTGAACGCCGTTAGCGATGGCGACGATAGCGAGGAACGCGTTTGGGTTCGCTTTCTCAACGCCGAGTACAAGCTGAAGACCAAGCTTTGGTCGCGCTACGATCCTTCTACTGGTAGACCTGATTTTTGTTTTACAGAAATTAAGCACGTTGGAATTTGACCCAACGATGGTTGCTCATGTTGCTGGTGAAACGTTTTTTGTTGTTGTTGTTGTTGTTGATGATGATGATGCTATCTATGTTCTGGAGGTGTTTTCTGACTGAAGAAAAATTGAATTTATAAATGTGATTAGAGTATGTCTTTTTTTATTTTTTATTATTATTATGGAAAATTGCAGGTTTATATGACGAAATGCAAATTGTTCATTTTTTTTTCTCACTTAGCAACAATTAATTGATTATTGCAATTAGACGGGAAGAAGCCTTGTGATTGAACAGGGGGCAGTTGTTTGGATAAATAGCTTAGTTGAAGTTTTTGTTTGATTAGAGTTTCGCTCCACATGTTTGGTTTAGCATTTATCAGTATTTGATCCGCGTCTAGCTATAGACATGAAAATGTCACTTGACTCTTGTATTTGATGTGCAAACAAACACAGGGTAAGTAAAAGAGCTTATGGGAGCTACTGTCAAAAGCTTAACTAAATACCTTCAATTTTTAACTTAAGTGCTTGTATGATAAGTCCAAACAAGATCTGCAGATGCTCTTCTGAGTGCCCCTGAATTGTATTGTTGTAATCTTATGTATCATGATGTATCCAAGATTCTGTGCCTGCCCAGTTTATTTCTTTCTTCATTGAAATAATGTGTATTAAACTGAAGAATGTGCTATAAGAATCTTTGAATTTGGTGGTCTTAACATCCCCAATAATCTATTTTGAAACCAGGAAAAACTCTGACCATGGATCCAAATTCAACAATTGTGATTCCTGAAGATAGGCATGGACTCTATGCAATTGATATTTTGGACCCTGATTTGGTATGCCTTTTTTAAGCTGAGTTGCTCGAACTGCAATGCACCAAGCAATTTATTAATGAGTCCTGTATAATTCTTTTGAGCAGATGATTGGAAGTGAGTCTGTGTATTATTTCCATGACATGATCGTTGAAATGCGTAAGTGGGGGTTTGAAGAGGGAAAGACACTTTTTGGCTTTGGATATGATTTTCGCCAAAGCAACAGGTAACTAATTAGTTTAAAACCAGAGCAGTATAACGAATCTTTCAAGTGAAGTCAATTCCATAACGGTGAAATTAAAAAAATTTAAATTATGAGATAATTTTATGTCATCCTTCTGCATGAAAAAACTTATTCTGTTTCATTTGTATATTGGAATTAATTCTTTTGTAAAAAATTTACCAAGTATTTTTATAATTTATTATTTTTACAAAAGGGTCAGTTTTCTAAGGAAGCTATTAGCTGCTAACCAGCATAGGTTGAAGTAACCTGTAATTGTGCTAATGATTTTTCTCTGACTGTTGCTTCTCCAATGTATCTTTTAGCTAGTGGTATGCTGGTCTTTAACATGCATTTACTCTCAAACAAAATGGAAGCAATTTTTCTTACAATTGCTCTGTTTATTATCATTTAGGTTACAGGAAACAATGGATCGGTTGGCTGCAAAATTAGAATCAATTTATAATGCTGCAGGAGGGAAGAAGATAAACATTATAAGTCATTCCATGGGGGGTCTTTTGGTGAAATGTTTCATGTGCCTGCAAAGTGATGTAAGACATCTGTTAGCTTCTCAAATCAGTTTTATTTTATGTTGTTTCCACTTTCCATTTAATCTTATCATTTATATTTGTCAATTTATGGTTTATACACTCAACATTGGAATTTAACTACCGCTGATACATGTCTACATTTCTGTTCTTGTCCTCTCCAGGTTTTTGAGAAATATGTTAAGAATTGGATTGCAATTTCTGCACCGTTCCAGGGTAAGTAATTCTATTCTATATTTAACAGAAGTACAGATTAATAATTAAGAATAGTTGATGAATGGTTCTTTTAGCATTTCAATGCAATTTATGAAGATGGGTCTATTAGAAATTTGTTTTCCTTATTTAATCTATTTGAAGAAGACAATGTCATCTCTTCTCGGCAGGCTAAAATAGTTAATGGGAAAAAAATGTGCATAAAAGGATTTTTTAAATATATATGGAGAAGTGTTAGATCAACTCTCTATCGTTTCACTTGATGTTGACCTAATTATGATTTGAACTTAAAACAGCAATGTATAATTTAATAGTTTGCTTTTGTTGCCTTCTTGTGTTTGCTTTTATATCATCTGTATTGTTTTAGATAGTTACAGAGGTTTCTTAATCTGTTTTTTTTTTTGCCATGGAAAGTGCATAATGGTACATTTGTACTTGAACATTGTTCTGCAGGTGCTCCAGGATCCATAAATTCTACCTTTTTAAATGGAATGTCTTTTGTGGAAGGATGGGAACAAAACCTTTATATTTCCAAATGGAGCATGCACCAATTGGTACATATCAGTTATTTTTGTCTTCTGGATTTTTGTTTTGAATCTGTTTATTAGTACTAGCAACACCTATTATGTGACTTTGTAAAGTCACAATAATATGTGTTGTTTCTGATATTTTTTACAGATCTTTCATTTCAGGAGCCGAGTATTTATACTTGTATGTTTTTAAACAATGTAAAACTTTATGTTTTGGACTTTCTTGGTAATTTATCTTTAAGTTCCAATGATGGGAATTGACAGTAGTGCAGGTCGATTTAGTGTTTATTAACAAGTATGAAAAAATAGGGAAGTACGGATGGGATCTTCCACAACTAAAGGGAAAACCCAAATTGCTATGTTAATTGTCACATGTCACAATCATGCTTCTGAATTCTATGGTTATACCAGAAGAAAAAAAAATCAGTGAGATAATACTAAAGGAAAAAATATATATAAAGATAGTTTTGGTGGCTGTTGTTCACAGTTTTATACATTTTTTTTTTTAATTTGATCGCGCTTTCATCATGTATGATCTTTTAGTATAGACTAAATGATTTTGATTTTCCGGTGTATGTATTGTTGGATGGTCTGCTTTCTATTTCTATTGATTGTGCTACTTCCCTGTGCAAAAGATTATTCAATTGTAATCTTACTTTTTTTTTCTTAGCATGTACCTATCTTGTTATGATTCATTTTGTTCCCTATTATCTTTTTCAACTTTTGTTATTTAGATACCTTGATATGTAGACTTATTTATCAAAGCTTGTTCCGTGTTACAGCTGATTGAATGTCCATCAATATACGAACTGATGGGCTGTCCTAATTTTCATTGGGAACATATTCCTGTTCTGGAATTGTGGCGTGAGAGACATGATTCAGATGGGAAACCATATACTGTTCTGGAGTCATATCCACCACATGATAGCATTGAGATTTTGGAGCAAGCTCTTGTAAATAACACAGTAAGTTACCAGTGTAAACTTGCTCAGCATGCAAATTAGTGGAACTAAGTTAAATTTGAGTATCATTAATATTTCCATGAAATTGAATGTATTGGAGTTTAAAATTTGGTTTGTGGAGAATTTAACCACTATTACATTCTACAAATAATGGTTAATGGATGATTTGGAATGGCAGAAATTATAATATAAAGACAGTCTTTTTAATATCTAGAGCTGAACTTGGAACTTAACATAGTCTCCACTCTCTCCTAGTTTAAACATTTTTATTTTTGTTTGGGGGAATGAAATGGAGGATTTCTTGCTTTCACATGCTTTAGAATTCATTAATACATTTGTCTCTGCCCTTCAACTTGGAGATATCTATATGTGATCCAGGTTAATTATGATGGTGAGGATGTGCCTCTGCCCTTCAACTTGGAGATATTGAAATGGGCAAACAAAACATGGGAGATTCTGTCTTCTGCCAAACTTCCCCCGGATGTTAAATTTTACAATATTTATGGGACCAATCTTGAGACTCCCCATAGTGTTTGGTAATGCCTCTATCAACTCTTTTGATGGTACTATGTTAACCTAGAAATGGTCTTTATGAAGTATAATAAGAATAGTCTAGTGAATGCATGTAGTTATTTATTATTCTTTTGGAAATATGTGATCATCACTTTACACAACTATTATTCTGCAGCTATGGAAGTGGGGACAAGCCTGTCACTGATCTGCAACAGCTACGTTATATGCAGGTCAATACATTTTTATTTTATACATTGAAGAAAAGTCTGCGAGTTTTCCATCTGCATTTTGTCTGTCTTTATTTATTTTAGTAATTATTGAACTAGTCAATAAACTGTGTTGATTAAGGGAATTAGTAAATGTAAGTGCTTAGTTTTTAAAGCGTGCGAGACTTGTGATATGTTCTGACTTTGGAATGTGCCAACCTCTCCTCTTCATAAACTTTATATCACTAAAAAATAGGATTCTTCTAGATAGATGCACCCGATTTCTCTTTCCTTTCCTTTTTTCTTCCACTTTGTGTAATCATTTCAAAATACTTGATTCTGTTATTGCCACACTTGGTTTCTTTTCTCTCTACTCTCTAGTGTGATATAGAAGTATAGATTTCAGTTGAATATATATTATGCTAAATATGTGTAAATTATTTTGGAATTTCCCCACTCGTTTGGTTAGTGGTTGCCAATGCTTACTTTATTTTATTTTCTTAATATTCAGGCCAAACTAGTCTGTGTTGATGGAGATGGAACAGTTCCAATAGAATCAGCAAAGGTTTGCTAATTACCCTATATACTATCTTTTGTGCAATTGATGACTAGTTAAATCTAAATCTAAAGTAAATACAAATTTTCCTCGTATTGGGTCAATCAACTAGCATTAGTGTTGGTAGTTATTGGGTTAAAGTCCAAAATATGTTTTGATTCAACCAAAATGCAGGCTGATGGTCTCAATGCGGAGGCAAGGGTTGGAGTGCCGGGTGAACATAGGGGTATCCTTTGTGAGCCTCATGTATTCCGGCTTGTCAAACACTGGCTAAAGGCTGGAGATGCCGATCCCTTTTACAATCCTCTCAATGATTATGTGATTCTACCTACTGCTTTTGAAATGGAGAGGCATAAAGAGAAGGGTGTAGAAGTAGCATCCCTTAAAGAGGAATGGGAAATTGTTTCCAAAGACCAAGATGACCATAGCAATACAGCTGATAAAATGTGCTCCATATCAGTTTCACATGAAGGAGCCAATCAATCTTATTCTGAGGCTCATGCTACCGTCATTGTTCATCCAGCCAATGAGGGTATACAGCACGTTCAACTGAATGCCTTGGCTGTTTCAATTGATGCCTCATGAATCATTCTGTTGAAGTGTGAGTATCGTGGAGGGAATGCTTTCAATATAGTTGATTATGGTCGACATCTCTTGTATATAATGATTCGTTTGATGTTGCTGTGTCATATTCCTCCCTGTTTTATGTATCATATAAGTGAAGTGCATGTGTCAAATATGAAAATGAATACCATCTTTACATTCTTATCTTACTATGTTAAGATTGGTATGCTATGTACAAATTCTTGTATATAATTGCTATTTATTAGACTTCACTTTTACCAGTGTGTTCGGATACACGTTTTGAATTAAAAACAAAAATCACTTGTGTAAGCTACAATGGGGAATTACTCTGATTGACACAGGAAATCACATCCAAAATGTCAGAACTTGTTTTCCTTGAGTCAGGCTTGTGACTTCTGAATGAAAAAAAAAAAGAAAAAAGTATTGGGAGGTGTTTTCCTTTAAATGTTTACTTCCTTGAAGATGGATTAGGCGGGATTTAAAGTAGTCTATGGATACCCAAATTAACTAAAGGGAAAATGAAATGTGTTGGACTTGGATACTCGAATTAACTAAAAAGGGAAAATGAAGATGTGAGAACTCGAAATTTCATTATATAACTCGGTCTCTTCATAATAAAGACGTGATTGAAACTATAACTATACTATAGTGACTTGTGACATGGGCAAAGCTTGTGTTTTCGACTCATAAGGTTGAAGTTTTTTTAGGTGAATTGATGTATTTGAGATGGATTGTTGACTTGCTTGAAGTGGACAACTGGTTTAAGATTGAGCTATTGGTGAATGTTAAATGTTGGCTTTTGTATTTTTAGTAGATCGAAGTTTGTGATCTGTTCAATTGATGTTTTAGTGAAGCTAAGATCATGGAAATGGATGGATGATGTATGAAAAATTACTTCCCCACTCAAGTCAATGCGAATCTTAAGTGACAACGTATATTAAATGCTTGCTTGTTTTAATGACGTTAGTAGAATTTATAGGGGGTTAGAGATGTGCTAGATTTCCTGAAACATGGACTCGAACATTCTTGAGGGCAATTATACTCTATTATGGTATAGCAATAGGTAACTTCACTCTAAGATGATGTATAATTTACTTTTCACATATTATATTTTCATTTTTTAGATATCAACTTTAGTCAACATTTGAAATTTTTTGGTTGATATTTACTATTACATTATGATTATATTTTCATTTTCCAGATATCTGACTTTAGTCAACATTTAATTTTTTTTTTTTGATATTTACTATTACATTAGGATAACCCATTATATGGATTGATTCACAAGCCCAATCTAGAAGGGTTGTCTCTAGGTATGGCAATGAGACGGATTTTATGTTTCTTGCTTTTGCCCCGCATATTTAAACTACCTTTGTCCTCATACTCGTTGGGGACAAAATCTGAGTATTCATCCTTGTCCTTGACAGGGTTCAGGTTTCCCTGCCCTACCCATGTCCCCGTGCCTAGACCTTTTTTTTTTGTTTCTAATAAATATAAAAAAAAAATTAAAAAATAAAAGAAAAATAAGATAATGCAAATTTTTACATTCTTTTTGACCAAAATGCCTCTCGAATAGTTTAAATAATATGTAAAGGTAGTTTTGTAATTATATTATTAAGCGGGGTAGGGCAGAGGTGGGGGTGGGAAAAAATCCAAACCCAATCAACAAGAATTTTCTTCATCCAAATTGAGGTAGGTTCAGACGAGGATCCATGAGGTCGAATTAGAATGTCATGCCTAATTGCCTCAACATGCTTGGAGACCACATATGTTGAGTTGTGAATCTATTTCTATTTTTTTGACATCCTTGCACGATTTTGGATGATGTGTAGGTCGATTGTTGCATACTTGTTCATTTATATTTGGATCAAGTTGTGAATTTATAGTGAGATATGTGACATTCTAAACCCTAAACCCTAAACACCTTACAGTTTGACATCGATTTTGGCTTCTCGTGAAAGTTTAATAATCACCATCATATTTCGTGTGATAATCATAGTTTTGAATTTGCACTAAAATACTATTTTGCCTTTAAAATTTCCTTTAAAATATCACATTTACATGTATAAACATTCTTGATATACGATGTTCACCTTTTGTGATTTGTCACCTCAAAGTTGTTTGCTCTTGGTGCTTCTCGTTAAGTTCATATGCCATTTTATCTACATATATCTCGTTTTCTTGTCTTCTTATCATTATAATTACGATTTACAAGATTATAAAGAAATGATAGTGGGAGTTTCAACAACGGTATATAGTTATCTTTCTCCAAAGTCATACCTATGTATTATCATTCCTTCTCTTCAGGAAACCATGATATTAATATATTCTTTTTATAAAAACTTATAAGAGAACAAAATAAAAAAAAATGGAAAATTCCTTTTTCAATTGATTAAAATTAGTTTATGAAATTAAAATCAAAATTTATATCAATTTAGAAGAACTTTATTTTATTTTTTCTTTTGGTTTTTATTTTTAATCTTTTAAGTGTTTATACTTTATAAGGAAGTTTATTCAATATTTTTTTTATTTGATTATATTTAAATAGATAAAACAAATAAGAAAAAAGGAAGAAAAAGAAAAGCGAAACTTAATTTTAGGCTAAGTTGGATGTTGAAAAACACCAACTTGCTATATATTCTATATAGAGTTCAGAGACCAGAAATTCGAAAAGGATACTTCTGCATGCGTACATGGCAGAGGGTTTATTATATATAGCTTATAATATTCTATATCTCTTAATTAGTTCTTTGGTTTGATGACAATGCCTTTGATGATTAGCCCAGTCTTCCACATGCCACCTTCATATTCATACATGAAGATCTTCATCTCACCAACATCTTTCTCAGATGCTACAAATTCTCCCACTGGAATCTCTACCCAACTCTCCCTTGACTTTTCCAATAAATTTTCCTTGTGTTCTTGTTTCTTTCCTCCAGGAATTTCAAGTCTAACATTTATTGGAATTTCCCACCCCTCATTAGCCCCATTTTTCAACATTACAATAAATGACACTTGATATAGAATTCCTGGTGAAAGCTTTGTGGTGTCAAATTTCCCTTCCACTTCTAGCCAGCATACCCTTTTCAGTTCAGCCAACTCTGTCATTGTGCCACTGCAACATCATATTTATTTCACTTAGGCTTTTTTTATCAGTAAAAAAATTACAAAAACAGTAACAAAATTCAAATTTAATGACCGATTTTTATTTGTAGTAAAACTCTTGATAGATTGGTGTAACATTTTTTGGTAAAACCAAATTGTTATAACAAATTAACTTATTTTAGAGAAAGGCTTTAATCATAAAAGTAAACCTAACTATTAACGTTTTCGCCTCTTTTTACCTTGCTTCTTTCTGTTGTACCCATTTCCAGTAGATTGGATTTTCTGCCCAGGTGATTGAGAGTGCTCTTGCATACAGCATGAAACAGTTACTGTTGGACCTCTTATCTACCCAATATTTCTACGTACAAATAATGATAATCATTAAAAAGTGTACTCTTAAATCGAATTACTAGATTAAACTCTGTAGCAGAAAAATCAAGGATAACTCAAGTAATCATAAAGAACAAGAATGCCTAGCATCTTCCTATTATTTATTTTTATATTTTTATTTATAATTGTAAAACAAATCCAAACTCTCGCGAGACATTTTTCCATAGGAACTTGTGCATCATAGTGAGTCCTATTGTGTACTAATATTTTAACATACAGCTTTCAACTCCTTATTAATTAATCAATTAATCAAATAAGACTTCAACATGTTCATTTCTATATTTTTTTTATCATAGGAATTTGAAATAAAAAAAATTAATATAACATTATACACAGATTACTTATCCAAGCTAAATCCTTATGTTCAATTTTATATAAATAGCTCATAGGAAGGACAAGTTCAACTTTTAACCTATGGAGAAAGGGAGAGTGAAGAAAGAAAGTTTGAAACTATATATTAGAAAGTGAATTAGGTGATTATAACCAAATTTAACCTTACGAAATCCGTGTATAAGGCGAGTCCTTACTTATATATTTTAATTTTATTTTTGATTGATGTGAAACTTGAATTTTTATTTTTTATTTTTTGATAAAAAACAGAATAACATTGAACTTGCCTTTGTTTTGTGATCTAAGAACACCCCAGCATATAGCAGATCAAACAGCTTTCCCCTACTGCAAGATTTATCAACCGGTGAGTCTGCATCCTTGAGTATATGTTCATAGTTATGTGGCATCATGGATCCAGTCTCATTGGATTTAACAGCTCTGGCATTATTATCTACTACTGCCTTTGTGCTATTACTCTTGGAGGGTTTTGTGTTTCTTCCAGGAGACAACAACCATGTTTCCCTTTTGGTGGTTTCATGTGGCTGATGGTGGTGCTGTTGTAACTGTGCCTGAGGTTGAGGTTGAGGTTGTGATTCTGATTGTGATTGTGATTGTGGCTCTTGCTGTGATTGAGTAGCACCCATTCTTCTTCCTCTTCTGTACGTTTCTAATGTTCTAAATAATATAACTTAAGAGCTGATTCTATTAGTTCTGATCCATTGTTAGTGCTTTCTCTTTTATTATTCTAAAGAATACGATGCTTTATGATAATGACGAATTGTTGTACGGTTTAATTTTTTAATGATTAAATATGTTTAGATTTTGTACATAACAAAATATAATACTTTTTCCCTTTTTTTTGTTTTTTTAATAATTCGTTTCTTGATTACTTCTCATTTGTGAAAATGTATGAGATGTGGTCATTATTTTCAGTCATATGAAATTGTTTACTTCTAATTTTCATTTATGAAAATAAGGATCACGTATGAAACATATCTATATACGAGGAGTCGAAATCAAATAATTTACATAAATAAGGTTCTCTGGTGAGGTCATGGTAGTCACGGAAACAGAGTAGCCGTACAAGAATGGCGTCGTCGTTAGCTATAGAAGTTCCTGTTGCATTGTCCATGGTTTGGTTTCGGATGGAAACCATGTGTGGCCACAGGATGGTTTCACCTAGCTACAAGAAAATTACCATATAGTGACATACACCCTACAGCGACATTATACATGTCATTAAAAATTACTTTTACCTACATAATAACTACAATATATGTTGGTATATTATTAAAAAGTGTGGGTATAGATTACAATGACACATAAAATATGTTGTTAAATCTCATTCAAAATCAACACTAAAATTGTGTGTAACTATATGCCAAATAGACATATACCTACATATATCGTACCTATAGTGACACTTTTTATATGTTACTATATGTTACATTTCTTGTAGTATCGACTCCATGGTGGACGTCAAATGTTCTTATCTAGATCCCGTGGATGTTCCTAGGGGGTGGCATCCTTGTTGCTCCACAATCTAAGGGGAGAGCACCTACAAAGACACTCCAATATTCAAATTAGAAAAGGGTTTAGGTGAAGAATTAGGGTAAGGTTAAAAAGATACTTGAAGTCCATATATATGTATGTTGATTGTGTAATTTAAGGATATACTCTTGTATTGTCATTATGAAGTATTCTCGTGATTGCATATGAGATTTATTGTGTGAATTTGTTGCTCTTTAATGTAGTGTTGGTGTTGTTGTACATAGTGTTTCATTTCACGATGGTGAACAGAAAGCCTAGCATGGGTGGTTGGATGAGGTTAGCTTGGTTGAACAAGGTCAGCTTGAGCTGGACGAGGTAGTGTGGGCAAACTAGGGTGATTAGCTCGACTTATTCAAGGCAAGTGGTACATATGTCTCTTGAACTCCAAGTTTATTAGGATGAAGGAACTAGAAGAGAGGTTGTTTTTGGCTCTTTATTCTAGTTGTGAGATGAGCAAGTGAGAGTTGTTATGTTTTATTGAGGTTGATTAATACAAGTGGTATAGAGCGCATTTGACCTAGTTATAATAGCTTGGTATAATGTGTCTGAATTGGATGTACAATCACTAAAATATTTGATTATAGTAAAAAAAATGTTAAAAATATAGGAATAATAAAAGTATTATTATCCACTAAATTATATGTATTGTTTAATTGTATATTTATTCAATACAAGAAAAATGCTAATTTTTGACAGTCATAATTCGTCAGAAACAAGTATTATCCGTCGAAAATAGAGGATTTTTAACAAACATAAATCCATCAGAAAAAGAGGTGTCGGAAAAAAAATATCCATAAAAAATAATTTATTCCGTCGATAATTCTCGATCGATATATCTGTAGGAACATCCGTCAGTAATTTTCGATGGATAAACATCCATCGGTAGTTTTTTACAGATATTTCTGTCAAAAAAATTTTACGGATATATCTTTCGAAATAACAAAATTGATTTCCGATAGAAAGTTCCGTCGAAAATATTATTTGAATGTTTTTTTTATAAATTTATTAATGTAACTAGTTGACATTATTTTCACCTGTTTAACAATATATATAGATTGATAGAAGTTTCATCAAAATAAATTTAAAAGACAACACTAATGTTTATATCATAATAATAATCCAACACTAACATATGTTAAACAATTCATAATTCAAACATCATATATAATTCAAATAGATTCATATTTTTCTAATGCTAACTAATAATCATCATAATCAAGATATTCTTCTTGATTTTTTCCTTGGTCATCTTGTTATTGTTGTTGTTCCCCATTTTGTTGATCTAGGTTGGCATTTTGTTGTTGACTAATATTTTGAATGACGGTTTGTGCTTTGGTGGGTAAGAACTGCATGTGACAATTGATTGAAACTATTGTAACTAACGAATAAGCACATCATTTTCTACAAGTCGTTGTTTCAACTGAACAATGTCTTCCGTGTCATGTGAATTGCTACAAAATGTTTTCCTTTTAAGCTTGAGGTGACTACTATGTGTATCTTTAAAATCACAAGCAAGGTCTCCAGCTCTATACAATCACCCCTTAGTGTTCATGCCACCAACTGCCACAAACCAAACATTTTTGACAGATGAAATTTATGACAAAATATTAAACATTTTCGACAGAATAATCCGTCAGAAACCTTCTCTCGAAAATCATGAAATTTACAATGGATTAATATCCGTCAACAAATTCTGTCAGAAATTTTAACATTTTCGACAAATATAAATCCGTCGATAACATTAATTTTTCTACGGATTTTTTTTCTATCGATAAAATTCTTCAGAAATTTAAATTTTTCGATAGATTCGTATCTGTCAAAAATTTGCTTTTTTCTTGTATTGATTACATTCTTACATTATATTTAATAATTATGTATAAACATTATTTCTTATTTTATTATCACCATTGTCATCTTGTATTATTTTAATCACACTTAAATCCTAGTATGAGAATTATTTGTAGATATAACTTATGATAATTAAGTAGCCAGAAATTATTAACTATAAATTAAATTAAAAAAAAGTCGGTAAAGTCATTTATTTGTGTATTAGTTTTTCTTTTACAATAATTTTCTAGATTTTTGCACATAAAAGTATAAGTTCTTAAAGTTTATTAGAACATTTTTTTATGGAATTATTGAAACATTTATTTATTAATTGGTTATTTTCAACAAATCAATGTGAAACAATTAATAATTCAAGTTTAGATAAATCTTATGTAACATTTCTCTAAACTTGACCACAAATCTCTACCTTGTTAAAAGAGATATGGAGAACAATTACAAAAAAAATGTTGAATCTGGATTAAAGTAATTAAAATCTAACATCTTGAATAAGTTCACTAGATCTCTTTTCCTTTTTTTTATTATTTCTTGAAAATTTGATTTTTGAAGTACATGTCCTAAAAGATATCTCAAGTTCAAATTAGTGACTTTGCAGTGAATTTAATTTCGAAGTGAGAGGTGCATTTTAGAAGATAAAGTGTACTTATAATTGTTGACCTTAAAATTAACGATTAAGATTTATGATAAAATTAAATTTGTAAAATACAATCTAAAATTAATTATAATATTAATCATTGATTTTTAATTAATGGTTATTATTGAACTTTATTTTCTACGGTGCAATTCCCCCACTATAGAGGAGTTACATCTTTGGTAGCAAATATAAATTCTCAAAATGATAGTGTTTTGAAGCACAAATTAGAGGTGTTTATTTAGATAAACAAATTAGTTTAATGTCTAAAAGTTCATGTGTGACATCCTCTACCTCACATACTAGCATAAAATACAATTCAATAATCGTGTATAAAAAAGAGTTTTCAAAATATTTTTACAAAGTGAGGCAAATTTTTGTGGGTAAAAGTATCACATAACAAACAAAAGCAAAACAATAAGTAAAATTGAGATTTAAAAAAGTAAATACAATGAAACTAACATTAAATCCTAACACATAGTTCAACTAATAGAAATAAAGTCTTAAATATTGTCTTGATGTCATATCTTATCAAAGAAAAACTTGATATAAAGCCTAAGTCTCATCTTCAACCTCATCATTCTCATGATGGACCTTACCTATACGCATACACCAAGCACTAACAAAATGACTACAATTCATAATAAGTTATCCAATTATTTATTATCATTGGGATAGAGACATTTCATATTTTTATATTTTATTTAAGAATTTAAAATAAATTTAAAAAATTTAAATTAAATAATAAAATAAATTGTTAAGAGTTTAAGAATTTAAATGATTACAAATTATTAACTAATTTAATTGGTGAGAATAAAAATAACTTCTAAAATTATTTTTTATTATTTAAAAATTTAGAGATAAAATCCTCTAAAAAATACAGACTAAAAATTAGTTATAAAACGATGTATTTCTTTCATTCTTTTATATATATATATATATATATATATATATATAGATAGCATATTGCATATTCAAATTCCACAATTCATCATAGGTAATATCTATGATTCACATCCATTCAATATACGATCATCATAATCATTATAATGCAATTGACACTAGTTTCCCAAACTATATGCATTTCACATAAGACGTGATGTATACTCATATTTCATATTCAACATAAAATCCTCAACTTAGACTCCACATCACATAACCATCACCTGGTCCACACACAAGCACAACACATTGTATTCCATAGAAGTCACGTGATGTCCACAACATCATCCAATAACACCTCAAATAGAATCATTATAAAATCATCTAATCATATGTTTATACCTCAACTATAGTTACTAAGAGATCAAAATCAAAGTAAACATTTAAATTAATAACTTAATTAGTCTCATAATGTTATTCATATCACACATTGATTCTTTAGGCATTCTTACCACCAAAACACCTTAAGCTGCAAATAATCAATTCACATCATAACTTATTCCCATTTGTTTTCTCCCATAATTTTTATTTCCTAACATTAATGCAGCTCAAACCATTCACAAGATCAAACACTTAAAGGCTAAAGTCACTCACCATCACCACTCATAAACTGTATTTTCATAACTTAATCTTTTGTGATCTCATGTGGCCCAAACACGATATCTGGAGCTATATACATGCTATAAAGTTGCTCTTAATCTTATTGGAAATCTAAGACAATTATCTACAATTTATATGCTAAACTCCAAGGTTTATGTTGCCATATGTTATTTTTAAAAATTACAAAATTGCATCATTTCAGTATGAATCTGATAGTTTGACCTCCGCTCACTAATTTGATAATAACTTGAGTTTTAGACCTTCTTTTTTGGGTAATTCTAATGTAATTGAAAAGATAACACCCATGGATAAAACTTGCATGAAAATTATAAAACCTAATTTGACTATTTAAGTCTCCGCTCAAGGCTTACAATGTACCTAGGTTACATTTCATGCATAGAATGTGAGGTTCATCTTCTAACTCACATAACTCGGTCATTTCTTAATATTTTTTTAAGATACAAATAAGGTCCCATACAATTTTGGGATACAAAAAAGTCCCACATTGTTAAAATTAGAAGAGAAATAAGAGTTTATAAAACAAACACATACTCCAATGATATAAAGGTCTTTTAGGTCATAATCAAAAGCAAAACTATGAGGGATTAGGCCCAATGCGGATAATATTTCACCTTTGTAAAGTTATGTATGCAAATATAACCTAATAAAAAATAAATGAAATAACCTTCCTCTTAAAATAACCCCATAACACATACCATACAAACAATATCCAAATGTAATGCAAAAATAAATTCCACTAGATGGAATGTTAGGTTCCTTGTTTGAAGGAAGTTTGTTGGGCTACAAACAAAGTCTCATAAAATTGTTGGGATATAAAAAATGTCCCGCATTATTAAAACAAGAAGAGAAATAATAACTTATAAAACTTACATATACTCCAATGATAAAAATGCCTTTTGTATAATAACCAAAAGCAAAACTGTGAGAGCTTAAGTCTAAAACAGACAATATCTTATCATTGTAGAGTTGTGTGTGCAAATATTCCCCATAAAAATAATAAAAATATAACCCTCTCCTCTTGATATTATAACAACCCAGTTTTCATACTTTTTATTGAGGGTGATTTAGTAATTTTCATAAAATTTATTAAGGGTGATTTAGTAGCCCAGAACGGGTCGTTCCCAAACTAGAACGGGTCGTTCCAATCTACTAAAAAAGACCTATTTTTGGTAGCCCAGAACGGGTCATTCCTAATTTGGAACGGGCCGTTCCAAACCACCAAAATAGTTTATAACCCTAGTTAGGAACGGGCCGTTCCAAATTTGGACGTTGTGAGTTAAAACTATCTCTAGAACGGGACGTTCTGGTTTAAGAACGGGCCGTTCCAGATGTGAATTTCTCACGTAATGAAAGGATCTAGAACGGGCCGTTTCGGATCTGAAACAGGCCGTTCTAGCCACTCCTGAAATCTATAAATAGAGCACTTTGACACTTTTTCTGAACACACTCTCTGAAGACCGAGGAGAGAGAAACCTCGCTCGGGGGTGTGGGAATAATTGTTGGGTAGCTGGATTGGCCCCCAATCCCTTGCCTGATGCATGCTTCTAGGAAAAGGCAAAATATTTCTGTTTTGCCTTCTGAATGTTCTATTGTGTTCCTTGTTGAATGTGATGTATGAATGTGTGATTAATTTTAAAAGTAAACAAGTTTTGATATAAATTAGAGTGTTATATGAGTTCCTAAAAGAACCCTACGAGAAACAGGCCAAATATGAATGTTCTCTGTTTTGTCTTCTGATTATTTTGTTGTTTTCCTTGTGTGATGTAGAGTGTAAATATGTATTTGATTTCAAAATTAGATAAGTTTTGATATGAATTAGAGTGTTCTGTGGGTTCTTGTACGGAACCCTATGAGGACAATTATGAATATTACTATGTAAAATATGAACTTCTGAGATAAGTTATGATTATGAGAATGTGAAATGTGACGAAATGAGACATGAAATTCCATGACAAGTAAAATGTTGAGTAATGAAATAGTGAATGTGTGACATGCATCATGTGCATATATGATCTATTCCAAGAGTCCCGCTTAGGCCGCATACCAGTGATGTAACAAGCTATGAGATAAAATGACTTATTTCATGTGTGCCGCTTAGGCCGCATACCAGTGATGTAATAAGCTATGTGATGAAATGACTTATTCCAGGAGTGCCGCTTAGGCCGCATACCAGTGATGTAATAAGCTATGTGATGAAATGACTTATTCCAGGAGTGCCGCTTAGGCCGCATACCAGTGATGTAATAAGCTATGTGATGAAATGACTTATTCCAGGAGTGCCGCTTAGGCCGCATACCAGTGATGTAACAAGCTAACAAGGTGTACCTTAGGGTCACCAATGATGTAACAAGCTATGTGATGAAATGACTTATTCCAGGAGTGCTGCTTAGGCCACATACTAGTGATGTAATAGGCTATGAGATAAAATGACTTATTTCATGTGTGCCGCTTAGGCCGCATACCAGTGATGTAACAAGCTATGAGATAAAATGACTTATTTCATGTGTGCCGCTTAGGCTGC